AGGATGATATAAACTCACAATAAATGAAGGAACTGATACAGTGGAGATTTTTACCCATGTATCAGAGTCTTCATTCTGACCAAAGCTGAAATTCATATTAACAAAGACACRCTCTTGGCCCCAGGCCCAACTGGCTTCTTTTATGAGTTAATTTTGTTTAATCCAAGGTGTGCTGACACCGCTGCTGCCTCCCTCCCTCCCCTGTGTCACACTTGGCCTTCCAAGTGCGAGTCTGTCTGAGGAGCTGCCTGGCCCAGAATGTTACTTTTCCCCCAAAACCTCCGAGTCTTCTCATCCTGGTCTTTATCTCTGGTTAAGGCAGCAGCAGGTTGAACGCTGTCCCCACGTCCCCAGGTGGGTTGACCACCAGGGCGGGAAGGCCATGTGACTCCACAGTTTTCCAGCAGTGACCTTTACCTTGCTTCCATGGGTTTCAGAACGAGCTGTGTCATCTGGAAGAGAAGGCCACAGTTAGGCCCTGACCAAGGAAGGAGCAAATTACAAGACGCTGGAGAAGTCCCTTCCCCATGCCAACCCGCCACCCCTGGAAAGGTCTTCCCTGCTTGTTCTAAGCCTACATGTTGATTAAAGAAGTTTTTTTGCCAGGTACAGTAGTGCACACCTGTCATCCCAGCTACTCAGGAGGCTGAGGCAGGAGGATAGCAAGTTGGAGGTCAGCCTCAGCCAATTTAGTAAGACCCTAAGCCACCTGGTGAGGTCCTGTCTCAAAACCAAAAAATTTAAAAGAGCTGGGGATGTGGCTCAGTGGTGGTGCACTTGCCTAGCATGAGTACCTAGGTTCAATCTCCAGTAATGCAAAATAATAAATAAATAATGCTTTTTACTAAATAATTACAAGGCACACATTTTAAGAATTAAAAAAGAAACCTGGGTGTGGCGGCACACACCTGTAATCCTAGTGTATTTGGGAGGCTGAGGCAGGAGGATCCCAAGTTCAAAGCCAGCCTCAGCAATTTAGAGAGGCTCTAAGCAACTAGCAAGACCCTGTCTCTAAATAAATAATTAAAAGGGCTAAGGATGTGGCTCAGTGCTTAAGTGCCCTGGGTTCAATCCCTGCTACAAAAAAATAAAAATAAAAATAAGAAAGAGGCTGCCCATGGACTAAAATGTTCTCCAAAGTGCAACTGTACTGAAATCAGGCTTTGTCCTTGAAGCAGGTCTGAGACAGAAAGGATTCCAGTGGAAGAAGAGGGACAGAAATCAAGGACCTGGGAATCAGCAGCATATTTTGGCCAATATCTCTGTGCTATCCAGAGCCCTGCAGCAGCTGGACTGTCTCTTGACACTGCTCCTGTCCCCTAGGCCAGGCCCCCACCCCTGTCTCAGAGACCCTCCGTATAATGTCTTCCCTACAGGGGCCCATGGGGAGGGGGCAGCAGAACTCTCTAGACCACCCTGGACTGACACTGAAATGTGGGGTTTGGAGGCAGGTGAGAGAAGGAAATGGGTATTGGGGTGTCCTGCACCCTCCCTGATTCTCAGCTTCTTCGGAAACATTAAGTCCTGCTGGACACACAAGCCCACCCCCAAAGTCTCCCATACAAGCTCCCCACCTTGCTGGGTGAATRGTCCCAACTGGAGAGGCAGCCTTGTCCCCAAACGCACACCCACTCCCCTGCCCTCCAACTCATTYCCCYGGCCCTGTCCTTGACCGAGAGGGAGCTTGACGGGTTTCAGATGGCATCTTTGAAGTCGTTAGGCAACACCGGCCATGCTTCCAACCAGCGAGGCCAATGAGGGCCTGGCATCTTGAGACGCTAACCTTTCATTCCTTGCCTTTGTTACTCAGGGAACTTAGTGTCTGTCAGTAAATAAAACAATTTTTTTGAAAACAAATCAAAGCATTTCTCTGCTAAAGGAATCAGAAGGTTGTCACATCCATTTGGGGAAACCCAAATGATCAAACAGCCCAAGATGGAAAGATCAGTGTGTAAAATAGTGTGGGAGGGTCTAGTGGTAAGGCTGCAGACAACGCTGGACACATAAAACTTAAAACTGACATCAGCAGAGAGCTGCCCACGGCCATCAATTGCTCAGCATGAAAAGAACGTGTGTGCTCAGTAATGACGGAGCAGGAAACTATAAAATTCCAGCATGCTGACAGAAAACAAGCAGCACTGSAAATAACTGCGGTCGCCCCACTTATCCTCCCAAAAACGATCTCTGTGTGTGTCTGATCGGCTTCCATCGCCCCTCTTTCTGCTGACAGTGACCCCATGGCTGAGCACCCTCGTTGTCAATACTCGGCATTTGGACTAGTGACATTGAGCTTCCCTGTTCTCCATCCAGGGTCCCAGCTCTTTGAAATCAGGGATCAGACCTCATTCATCGCTGCAGTTCCCCTGCTCTTCCAGA